AGACTAGTCCAAAATCCAAGACTCTAGAAATAACTAAATATGTTTGTTGTTATCCACTGCAACTTTTGAGAGTTTAATCGTATCATTTTAATAGCAATTATTTAGTTGAAATTCAATGATGATGCCTTCAAGCATGTTTGTAGCAAAGTCAAGCGTAACATTGGTGTGGTGGTGCAATGGATGGACACAATAATACTCCTCCGGTCCTTATTATAAGACCCAATTTGACTTTTTATTTGGTCCTAATTATAAGACCCAATCCATTTTGTCTCTTATATTTATGCATTTTTTTCCAAGATAATCCTTCTAATAATGATAGTTTTAGCCAATATACTTAATTAGCAAGGATATTTTAGGAATAACAACACTTATTTATTATAAATAACCAACTTAACTTGCTTCCTTAATCTCCTCAAATAAGTCAATTGGGTCTTATAATTAGGACCGGAGGAGTAACATGAATTAAGACTATGAGGTAGCGACCAATGAGTTAGGAGATGTGATCATTGGGCCTTGGACCAAGAGTTAGGAGATGTGATCATTGGGCCTTGGACATGTGGGTTAACAAGGAAGAAATTATTAGGATATATAGATTAAGTATGGTCTAATGACAAAGCTTATTTATATAACTTAAACTTAAATGTTGGGTGAAAACCAAGTCATAGTTTTAAAAGTAATTTTAAATATACATTTCAATATGCGAGAGAAGTTTTGTCTTGACTTATATGAAAAAAAATACTTTTTAGATAAACCAAACACCCAGTTAATCTAAAAAGATGTTAACTCCCTAATCTTAAGGGTAAGGATGGCCAAAATTCATAGCCTAGGGAACATTCATCTCATAGTTGAACACTTCTTTCCTCAGTTTTGTTTCCTATCTCGTTTTTAAGTTGTTATCATTTTCACTCTGGCAAAATGAAAAGAAATAAATCCTAGAATAACCTTTTATAACGCAAAGATTCATTCCATTTGTTTGAAACTCACTTAAGAGATTGATGAAAGAAATTGGCATCAATTCATTGGAAAGTTAGAACACTAAGCTCCTCAAATTGAACAAGGCTGGGGTTGATCAATGTACTCTATTTTGACTAACCTCGATTTTTTTAAAAAGTCCCATAACAAGGCATTTTTGATGCTCCCCGTAAATAAAACCATTTCATCGCAAATCTTGTAGAATATATCATCGTTATTACCTTGTTTGACGTGTTTGTCACTCACAGAAGTGTGTGTTTAGAATTTCTTTCGTTTTGACCAAAATAGTGTGAGTTTTCCCACAAAATATGCACGCACTCGTTTCAATGAGTTTGCAAACATAAATGAAATAGGAAAACAAGGACAAAAAAGGGGAGGTGCAAACTCCAAAGTCCAAAATAGTGATGATGGAAGGGTGCAATAATTGTGAAAGGTGGTGATGACACTAAAAGTCTTTTTTTTTTTTGGAAAAATGGCAATTAGGTCCCACTCAAGGGAATTAAACACAAAAAGGTCCCTTGAAATCATAAAATTATTTTAAAGTCTCAAAATTTTTTTTGCATTAAATTTTATTTGTTTACTTACCAAATTACCCTTTTTGTTTTTTTTAAGTTTATACTGACAACTAAAAGAGCAGTGGTTGACAACTCAAGGTGCAAGAATTGACAACCATCGCGGCTGGTTTAACAACTTATGATGTGATATGCTGAGAAAATGTGTTGTCAAACCAGCCGCGATAGTTGTCAATCATTGTACTCTGAGTTGTCCACCACTTCTCTTTCAGTTGTCAATACAAAGTTTAAAAAAAAGAAGAAGGGTAATTTGGTAATTAAACAAATAAAATTTATTGCAAAAAGGTCCCTTGGGACTTCAGAATAATTTCATGATTTTAAGGGACCTTTTTGTATTTAATTCCCTTGAGTGGAACCTAATTGCAATTCTCCCTTTTTTTTTTGCGCTGTAAAATACTTTTGTGTTCCTTTACTTTTCCTTTTCCTTTTCTTTTTTTGATAAAAGGCAATTTTATTCTAATAAAAATATAAAAGGATGCATAAGAAATTGGCTTCATGAACTAAAAGATTATGCTGCATAACCTAAAAGCTTAAAGTGCCGAAAAGAATGAACAACAAAAGGAAAAGACTGAGTTAAGACCTAAAAGAAAAATTAACCTAACCAATGACAAAAATAAAAAAACTCTGACGATTTGAAGGATAAAATGATATAACAGTTATTTCCACCATTAAAGCTCTATTTGGATAGGAAGAAAAGTTGAGAGAAAAGAAAATAGGAGGAAAGAAAATAGAGAGAAGGAAAAAGTAGAGGAAAGTTGTTATCATCTCTCTTGTTTGAATAGATGAGAGAAAATAGAGAAGAAAGAAAGTTAGCAAATATCTAAATGACTAGAATGTTTTTATCAAAATATATCATATTTAAAATTAAATTAAATATTGCAATAGAAAAATTATACTAACATTAACATCATCAAATAGTTTAAAATCAAATTATTTGGTTTATATATATTTTCAGATTATTATGTTTTAAAACCAAATTATTTAATAAAAATATTGTTTTAAGATAAAAAATAAAAAGCGAATAACTTTTTAAATATAACCGAAGAAAAAAAAAATATAAAGAGGAAGAAAGAGGAGAGGCAGTAATAGAAATCTTGTTTTCTTTTCCAAACCTCTCCATATGTGGAGAGAAAATCTGAAGAGAAAATGAAACATCAGGCTCACTTTATTTTTTCCTCTACTTTTTCTTCCTCCTACATTTTCTTCTTTATCCAAACAAGAGAAAACTTGTTTCTTCTCCCTAACTTTCTTTCAATCCAAGCAAGGGGTAAGACATGAGCAAGTGGTAGAGCTTTCAAAGACTCCTCATATGGCCGCGCCATATTGTGAAATCCATCAACATGAACAACTTTATGCCACTAACTTCCCTCTCGAAAGAGCAAAAACCGGCATCTACCCAAAATGGGTTTGGAAAGAATGGGTATGACTCTAATTTTCGACGAGGAGACCCATGGTACAGGTGCTAATAATACTGAACAAAATCACCAAAACTATGCTTGGTCATGTTGCCGAGTCAGAAATTAGACTCTACAACCTACCCAAAAAAAAAAAAACCATAAATTCAGAGATTTTGGATGCTTATCTAGCTTTTGGGGCCACCGCAGTATCACCCCTCACTATAATGGCCTCTCTTTAGCTTTATTGGATCTTCCGATGAAGCTTTTTCATAGAAGAACCCATCAAAACCTAAGACTCGATTCGCTTAGATGACATTATGAACACCATTATGAGGATGAATATGAACACCATTATCTATAATAATTTCTTTTTTTAAAAATTTATTCAATTTTTAAAAATAATGAGAAATGTGATTTTTGAGATTTCAATATTTTAGAAAACTTAAATGAATATTATAATAAATTTTCTTAAACATGCTTGAGGAAAACAGACCGTGGGATAAAAACTACTTATCAAAATTTTTGCTTTGGCAAGCTTTTAACGTATAACAGTACTGAAAGGATTGAGATTGGAATTGAGATTGGCATTGATATACTCTAGCTTATTTTAGCATATTTGGTATGAGGCATTAAGTCTTCTCCCTTCTTCCCCTTCTTCTTCTTCTTCTTCTACATCTTCTCTCTCTGACCCTCACAAACAATCCAATTTGAACCAGAATCTAATTCGATGTTGCAGAAATTAAAGCAATCATTTACATCTCGGCCATAGTTGCAGAGAGAGTCTGCAATGTTATATAGCAGAAACTCTTGAACATACTATGTTACTTCTATAATTTTCTTATTAGTTAAATAAATTAAAGAGAAAAGCTTGTCTCAGAAACAGCTCGAATTCTAAAACAATGATGAGAAGAGGTTTTACAATTTGGTGACTTGGTTTTAACAGAAAACAAACAAAACTTCTAATAGTTTTTATAATTTATACCTGATTTTAAAATAAAATTAATGTGAACATTCTAAGTAAATATTACTACCAACCAAATATAATTTTAAAGCATCAATCCCACTCTAAGTCCAGTCCCAATCTCATTCTCAACTCTTTAAAATTTAAAGCTACGTACTAAATAGGGTCATAAGTTTCGGTTCAATGTCTTAACTTTCAAAAATTATACTTTTAATTTTTTACTTTTAAAATCATTAAAAAAAATAAATCAAATGTTAACATATTACATTTAATTTTTTTTAAAACAATCATCATTATTATAAAAAATTATGAGAAGCATGACAATTTTGAGACTAAAAGAGTAAAAATATTTTTAAAAGTTAAAGACTAATTTAGAACATTATATAAAAGATTAGAATTGGTATAATTCTTTGTCATTGAATTTTGAGTCTACTTTAGTTTTGATTCCTCAAATTTCAAACCGATAATTTTAGTTTATAGAATTTAGACCTATTTTAAAATGTTTGTATATAGAGATAAATCTGTTGAAGTATTGTAAATGGTGTTAAATTGATAATATGAACTCATCAAATGACATGATTTTGTGTGAATAATAGAATAATTATATAGAAAGGGATAAGTTCTCAAAATGGATACAACTCTACAAAAAAATAGCCAGAAAGAAAAATGGGGCTAAACAGCAACATTTTAAAGACTTGTTCTTGTTTTTCCCTCGTTATCTATACAGGATAACATCTGATGAGTTTATGTTATGAGATTTTAACACCATTATATTTATAAGAATTAATGTTCTATAAGACAGACTAAATTTAAATATATATATTAACACATGATATTTAGGGGCTGTTTGGGTATCCCCAAACCGTGGTTTCAGAAGTACTTTTTCGCAAAACGAGATAATCTCCTCCACATATTTACTTCATAATCCGTAAAAGCACTTCTGAAATCATGGTTTGGTTTCTATCCGAACACACCCTTAAATGAAGTGCTTTTACCATTTCGCTTTTTCGGGCATATATCCAGGAGACCAGGCCGAACCAGGTGAGCTTCAGCCCTCGGAAGCCACTGAAAATCTCTCGTCTGAGTTTGGGAGCAACAATGTCGGGTTTTTCCTTTGGATCCTCCTCCTTTTCTTCCTCCCAATCTTCATCTCTATTTTGGTTCACTAACACTTCATCCTCTTCTGCTTCACCTTTCTCATTCGGTTCCTCTCCTTTCCCTTTCGGGCAAACCGCAGCCTCCACTGGATTTTCGTTGGGATCATCCCCTTCCCTTTTCGCCTCCTCCTTCTCCTCCTCAAACCTTACTTCTTCTTCTTCCGCACCTTATCTCTCTTTCGCATTCAACTCCGCCCCTTCCTCTGCTCCTTCTTCATCTTCGTCTCTTTTCTCCACTTCAACCCCTGCCTCTGCTTCGGCTCCGTCTCTCGGGTTCGGATCTACGCCTTCAACTTCTGCTGCTGCTTCTTCTTCTTCGGCGCCTTCATTGTTCAGTTTTAGTTCGGCAGCACCCAGCTCATCGAGTTCTACTTCATTGCTATTTGGGCAATCTTCTGCTGCTCCATCTTCTTCTCCTTCCGTATTCGGGGCAAGTTCCGGATCGTCCCTTTTCGGGTCAGGTCCATCAGCAGCTTCCGGGTCGTCTCTTTCTGGTTCGTCGGCGCCATCTTTGTTTGGGTCATCTGCATCATCTTCGAATGCTACCTCATCCTTATTCGCTTCACCTTCATCTGCAGGAGCCAGTTCAGGTTCCTCGCTGTTTGGGGCATCTTCGGCTCCAAGTTCTAGTACCACCTTGTTAAGAGGGACGACTGCTGGAGCGGCGCCGTTTGGGGCACCAGCTACCAGCGCAAGTGCGGGGTCATCTGCGTCCATCGCAGCTGCTGGGTCTTCTCTGTTCGCAGCTTCTTCAGCTTCTTCTTCATCCACAGCTGTTCCAGCGCCTAGTTCTACAACCCAATCTACTTCTGCGCCTATATTTAGTGTGACTTCTTCTGCAAGTACAGCTACTACAGGAATTGCTGCCGCTTCTGCTGCCTCTTCAGGTAGTGGAGGATCTTTTACAGGTTTCAGTCTCACTAGCAGTACTGCTGCTTCTGGAGGTGCAAGTTCTACTTCTGGCTTCTCTTTCTCAACTAAGCCATCGACTTCTGCCTCATCAACACCTGCAGTGTCAAGCAGCACTGCACCTGCATTTGGTGAGTTGGATAATTACAATCTTTTTATTTTTGAGGCATTTGTTACTTATACTTAAAGACCATCACGATACTTATTTGCAACTAGCGTGTGTGGCCTTTGCTAAACTCTATTGTTTTCCGCGTCAAAGTATAGTTAATGGATTTTCTTCTTCATATGTATTTTCAGAAGCCTTTTCTATCCTTCTTGAAAGTTCATTTTGATTTTCTACTATGCTTTTAGGATATGCTTTTTGCTAGATATTGGGGGAAGTAAGCATGAATAGCTGAGGGCATATTAAAGTAGATTATTTGTTCTATAATCTAAATGATGTGGACTGTTAAATTTATTGATTGTAACTTTGCAATCTCAAAAGTCTGGTCTAGAGGGTGAGTGAAAATTTACTAGCTAGTAGACATGCAAGGGGTGCAGATAAAAGGTTGATGACTTTATTAGAATTTATTTATGCAAGGTTCTGTTGGTTCCCGTCACTGGTCACTACTATTGTTTTGTTCATTCTTGCGAGGTGTTTTTTACTTTCTAGTTTTGTGAAATTTGTGAAGGAGAGATACTTATATTGAGAAACAATGGGCGGTGATAACATTTACCAGGAATGCAGAGTGTGTTCATAACATGCTGATCTATGCTATTTCCTATATGTTGCTATTATCTGATAGAATGAGGATTTAGAAAAGGGTATCTTAGTAAATAACCAGGAGTTAGTTATGAGCTGAGAAAGTTATGTATCGTGTACCTCCACTTCAAATGAATTCAGCACTTTCTCTCTCTTTCTTGTTATCATAGGTTTCAGAGTCGTCTCTTCGGCCATGGCTCCGGAGACACGATCCTCTGACTGTTTTGCTGAGCTGCAAGAGCAATTGGACCTCCAGAAAGCTTCCATTGCTTCGGTCACCTCTCGATTAGACCATCAATCACAAGCGATTGATGATCTTAGGTCTTCCACTGCCAAGTTCGATGACTCCCTGAAAGATATCCTTAACAAGGTTTCCTCGTTTTTTGCTGATCAAGGTAAGCAACCACTTGTTGCTTTAGGGGAGGGTGGCCCGTCTTCTTTGTCACCGCCTCGAATCCCAAACTCTGGGTCTCTACATGAGGTCCTCAATCCTCCCCAACATTACATAGTACCGACGAAACAAAGCAGAGTTGAATTTCCTAAGTTCGATGGTTCAGACTTTAGAGGTTGGGCCTATCGGTGCCAGCAGTTTTTCGAGGTTGATGGTACACCACCCGACCATCGTATTCGTTTGCTTAGCATTCACTTGGAGGGTCACGCATTGCGATGGCACCAAACCTTTATGCGCCACAAATCCTTCTCCGACATCACTTGGTTCGATTACTTTCGGGAAATGGAAAAGAAGTTTGCGGATATTCGTGAAGAGAATCCAATGATTGCTCTTAAGGAATTACAACAACTGGACGGCTCTGTCATTGAATATGAACAGAAGTTTGATGAGTTGCTCTCGAAGGTTGACATACCTGATGAAGTTGCTATGAGCTTGTTTATTGGCGGATTGCGAGCGGACATTCAAAGGTGTGTCCTTAATTTCAATCCATCCTCCCTTGCGAGTGCAATGCACAGTGCTCGGATGCAGGAGTTGACGATTCGGGCATTACATGACAACACCCCTGCGTTTGGCCGGCGAATGACCCAAATAGCATTGAGAGGGATGGATTCTAGTGGGCTCAGGTCAACTGTTGAATTGGGCTCTATTTCATGCTCAAAGATGGATTTTCCCTCACCATCTAAGCCTAAGTCACAAGACCAATATTTGGCGGCCAACTCGTCAAACTCTGTTTTGGCGTCTTCCCCTAGGATTTTGAGTAGTCCAACAAAACCGTCCCGCCAGCTTTCAAAGAAGGAGATGGATGAGCGACGTAGGAAGGGCCTTTGCTTTTGGTGCCTTGGAAAATATACTAGCAGCCATTGCTGCAAAGATTCCCATCTCTTTAGGTTGGTGATCGATGATGATGAAGAGAGCTTTGAGGAGGCTCTGGAAGAAGTTCCTGTGGAGAACGAGGGAACAATTAATGCGAATGAAGGCTAGGAGGATACTTCGACCATGAAGCTAGTAGGGCGCATTAAAAATTAGAGCGTCATTATCTTAATAGACACAAGGAGCACCCACAACGTGCTTGATGCCTCTACTGCTAGGTGACTTCAGTTGAGAGCTCGAGAGAGAAAGAAACATGTCGGAGAGACTCTTTCTTTAACACTCACATAATATTCACAACAAGATATGGACCATGCAAAAGTTATCTAATGCTAACCACCGCACCTAGAATACACTACTCGTCACTTCTAGGCAAACATAGTGTTGTTTTCATAATTTGTCTTGTGTTGTTATAGTGTAACTCTCAAATATTAATCTTTCAACTCTTAGGTCCTGTTTGATATAAAGTATGAAATGAGAGGTAAGAAACTAGAGATTAGGATTGGAATTAAGAAAACTTATTAAAAAAGTATTTAATATTAGGATTAGGATTGTTTAATCCCACCTACCTAGGTTTGCTCAATCTCAAGTAATAAATAATTTCTCATATTAAACGTTCTTTTTTTTTTTTTTAGAGTTTTTTCAATTCTAATCACAATCCTTACTTCTTGTTCTTAATATTTCATACCAAACAGAACCTTAATATAACTAAGATGATTGAGACTGTTTTAAATGTCTTTCATGAAAAGTAGTCGTAGAACTGAGTGGTTGTGTGAAACTTTTAATGATTTTCAATATTTACAAGTGATCTATGCATTGTTTGAAAATAGAGAGCGGGGAGGTGCTCCATTGTTTTCAAAGGGACTAGTCCAAAATCCAAGACTCTAGAAATAGCTAAATATGTTTGTTGTTGTCCACTTCAACTTTTGAGAGTTAATCGTATCATTTTAATTGCAATTATTTAGTTGAAATTCAATGATGGTGTCTTCAAGCATGTTTGTAGCAAAGTCAAGCGTGATATTGGTGTGGGGGAGCAATGGATGGACAAAATAACACGAATTAAGACAATGAGGTAGTGACTAATGAGTTAGGAGATGTGATTATTCAGCCTTGGACATTTGGGTTAACGGGGAAGAAATTATTAGTGTATATAGATTTAGTCTGGTTAGACAAAGCTTGTTTATATAATTTGAATTTAAGTGTTTGGGTAAAAATCAAATTATGATTTTAAAAGTGATTTTAGATGTACAATTGAATATGTGAGAGGAATTTTTTCTTGTCTTGCATGAAAAAAGTATTTTTTGGGTAAACCAAACACCCAATTAATCTAGAAAGATTAGAAAGACCTGGTTAACTCCCTAATTTTAAGAGGTAAGGATGGCCTAAATTCATAACCTACGGAATAATCTCATAGTTGAACACTTCTTTCCTTAGTTTTGTTTCCTATCTCATCTTTACCTTGTTATCATTTTCATTCCAGCAGAATGAAAAGAAATAAATTCTAGAGTAACCTTTTATAATGCAAAGTTTCATTCCATTTGTTTGAAACTCGCTTAAGAGATTGATAAAAGAAATTGGCGCCAATTCATTAGAAAGTTAGAAGACCAAACTCCTCAAATTGAACACGGCTTGGGTTGATCAACGTACTCTATTTTGACTAACCTCAATTTTTTTTTTGAAAGTCCCATAACAAGGCATTTTAGATGCTCCACGTAAATAAAGCCATTTCATCGCAAATCTCGTCGAATATATCATCGTTATCACTTTCTTTGACGTGTTTGTCACTCACAGAAGTGTGTTTAGAATTTCTTTGGTTTTGACCAGAATAATGTGAGTATTCCCACAAGAGTTGCAAACACTCGTTTCAATGAGTTTGCAAACGTAAAGGAAATAGGAAAACAAGGACCAAAAGGGAGAAGTGCAAACTCCAAATAATCGTGATAGAAGGGTGCAATAATTGTGAAATGCGGTGATGATACTTACTTCTTTTTTTTGGCGCTGTAAAATACCGTTGTTTTCCTTTACTTTTTTTTTTGTTGATAAAAGGCAAATTTATTCTAATAAAAATATAAAAATACATAAGAAATTGGCTTCATCAACTAAAAGATTAAAAAGCCCAACATGCTGAAAAGAATGAACAACAAAAAGAAAAGACTGAGTTAAGACAATTTGAGAGATTAAATGATGTAGCAGTTATTTCCAATATTAGGATATGAGCAAGTGATAGAGCTTTTAAAGAATCCTCATACTGCTCCGCCACATAATGTGAAGTCCATCAACAAAAAGTTGATGAACAAACTTATGCCACTAACTTCACTCTCGAAAGAGCAAAAACTAGCATCTACCCAAAATGGGTTAGTCGGAAATTAGACTCGACAACCTACGAAAAACAAAAACCATAAACTCAAAGATTTTGGGTGCTTCTGTAGTCCTTGGGGCCACCACAGTATCACCCTCACTATAATGGCCTTTTCTTAACTTCATTGGGTCTTCCGACGAAGGTTTTTTTTTTTATAGAAGAACCCATCAAAACTTAAGACTCGATTCGCTTAGATGACATTATGAACACCATTATGAGGATGAATATGAACACCATTATCTATAATAATTTCTATTTTAAAAATTTATTCAACTTTTAAAAATAATTAGAAATGTGATTTTTGAGATTTCAATATTTTAGAAAACTTAAATGAATATTATACTCTTCCGATCCTTAATATAAGACTCATTTAACTAATTTGATTAAATTAAGGAAGTTAGGTAAGTTAGTTAATCATAAGAAATGTGACACATTTTTCCTAAAATACCATAATCATCATTTTTAATATCCCATCTTCCTCTTTTACTTGATTATGGTTGAGGGAGTATCCATAAGGGTAATTTATAGAAAATTGATAAATATGAGAAATGAGTCTTATATTTAAGACCAAAATAAACTCAACAATTGGGTCCTATATTAAGGACCAGAGGAGTAATAAATTTTCTTAAATATGCTTGGTAAGGGAAAACAGACCGCCAGGGAAAAACTACTTATAAAAATTTTTGCTTTGGCAAGTCTTTAACATATAGCGGTACTGAAAGGATTGGAATTGAAATTGGGATTGGCATTAGCATGTTTGGTAGGAGGCCTCAAGTCTTCTTCCTTCTTCCCCTTCTTCTTCTAGATCTTTTCTCTCTGACCCTCACAAGCAATCCAATTTGAACCAGAATCTAATTCAATGTTGCCGAAATTAAAGCAATCATTTACATCTCGGCCATAGTTGCAGAGACAGTCTGCAATGTTATGCAATGGAAAATCTTGAACATACTATGTTAGCTTCTATAGTTTTTCTTATTAGTTAAATAAATTAAAGAGAAAAGCTTGTATCAGAAACAGCTCGAATTCTGAAACAACGATGAGAAAAGGTTTTACAGGTCGGTGACTTGGCTTTAAAAGAAAACAAACAAAACTTCTAGTAGTTTTGCCTTTTCATTTGGATCTTAAAATATAAGATGGAAAATATATTAAAGCTGGTGGGAGTTCAGTAGGCGTGTCTTCATGTGGAGAAGAGGATCAAACGAAAACTGAGATGATGGTGAGAGGGGGCGTGAAAAATGGGGATGGGGGTGACGACGGGTTGAGTTGCAAGCTTTTTATTTTTATTTTTTAATTTAATAATAAGGATATTATGCTCATTTTATAATTTATATGTGATTTTAAAATAAAATTAATGTGAACATTCTAAGTAAATATTACAGCCTGCCAAATATAAGTTTAAAGCATCAATTCCACTCCCATTCTCATTTCCAAGTCCAATCCCAATCTCATTCCTGATTTCTTAAAATTCAAAGCTACGAACCAAACGGGGTCATAAGTTTCAGTTCAATGCCTTAACTTTTAAAAATTATGCTTTTGATTCTTTAGTTTTAAAATCATTAAAAAAAATTAAATCAAATGTTAACATATTACATTTAATTTTTAAAAACAATCATTATTATTATAAAAAATTATTATAACAATTTTAGGATTAAAAGAGTAAAAATATATTTTTAAAAGTTAAAGACTAAATTGAAACATTATATAAAATATTAGAATTAATATAATTCTTTGTCATTGAAATTTGAGTTCATTTTGGTTTTGGTCTCTCAAATTTCAAATCAGTAGTTTTGCTTCTTAAAATTTAATCAGTCTTAAAATGTTAGTATATGGAGATAAATCTGGTGATGAAGTATTGTAAAAGGTATTAAAGTGATAGCGTGAACTCATAAGATGACATGGTTTTGTGTGAATAACAAAATAATTATATAGAGGGGGATGTGTTCTCAAAATGTGTATAACTCCACAAAAGAGAGAAAGAAAAATGGGGCTAAATAGCTGCATTTTGAAGACTCCCCCTTCTCTCTGTTATCCATTCAAGATAGTATTTGATGAGTAGGGATAGAAACAGGCGAGGCAGCCTGTGGCCTAGCCTGTTCAAAAATAGAAACAAACCCAGGCTTTTTTAAAAGGCTCTGTTTAGCCTAACATGCTAGGTCTAGGCTTTTTGAGAAACCTATTAATTTGTAAGGCTGGCCTGGATTTGTAATAAGTTTATAATTATAATAATATAAGAAAATTAGTTGATGCTATTATTTTTAATGTGATCTTCTAACTTATTTTTTATATATAGTTAATGTTTCATTGAATTTTGAAATTTAGCTTGCAAGTGAAGATAAGAATATAATTTAAAATGGTAATAAAAAAAAGAATATAATTTAAAATGGTAATGTAAATAAATAGTGTGATTTTTAAATTACAAAAATATGGATGAAATAGAAAAAATATCTTAGAAGAATAGTTGAAAAGAAGGGGAAGAATTAATAAATTAATTAACTTATATGTTACATTAATCAAATTATGATAGACCTTTATTTGTTTTAAGTTAATAATTTTTTCTTTCTATTTATTTTAATTTTAATTTCGTACCTATATCAAGTCTTATTCAAAATTTTAACATATAATTATAAGTAATATTAACTATAATTAAGATTAAAAATAGTACTTATGACATGAAAAATTAAATAAAAGACAAGATAAAAAATTTGTATTTTGCCTTTTCATTAGTCTATGTATTTTTTATTATGTATTTTGAAAATTTTAAAATTATAGGTGTTTTTAACAGGCTCAGACCAGATCAGGTTTTGGTACAGGTTAGGCTTAGGTAGGAAAAAAACCTATGACAAGCCACAGGAAAGACTCAGGTGGACTATTACCAAATAGGCTGGCCTGTGGGAAATAAAGCTGGACTTGATCTGGTATGTTTTCACCTTAACATCGCCATATCTTTAAGAATTAATATTTTAATACAAGCTAAATTTTAAGAAACAAAAATTATAGGGCAAAAGACAGAAAAATGACACTTAAATTTCATAATGCCCAAATGGTCTGCTGAATTTAAGAAATTCCAAGAGACCAAATTGGGATTATCATGTTAAAAGAAAAGACCAAATTGCCCTTCATCTTATTTATTGTTTTTAAAATACCAAAGCTCCCACTGGCCGGCCGGCCGATCGTCGGAGCTCCGGTGGCAGCAGTCATCGGAGGTCCAGCGATTGGTCGACAATTGGTCACTGGAGCTACGACGGTCGGAAATATTTTTTTTGAAAATTTTTATAACTTTAGTATAACGATTAACAACTTTTGTAACACTATTAACAATTTTAGTATAGCAGTTAACAACAGGTTTTTTAGGAAATTCAATAAGCTCCAACGGCCGGAAACAATTTTTTTGAAAATTTTTACAATTTTAGTATAACGGTTAATAACTTTTGTAACACTATTGACAACTTCAGTATAGCAGTTAACAACAGGTTTTTTAAGAAATTCAACAAGCTCTGGTAGCAGAAAACAACTTTTTTGAAAATTTTTACAACTTCAATATAACCGTTAACAACTTTTATAATGCTATTGACAACTTCAGTATATCAATTAACAACAGGTTTTTTGGGAAATTCAACAATTGGTCGCCGGAGCTCGGGTGGCGGAAAACAATTTTTTTTTGAAAATTTTTACAATTTCAGTATAACAGTTAACAACTTTTGTAATTCTATTAACAATTTCAGTATAGCAATTAACAATAGGTTTTTGAATTTGTTAACGACGTTACTAAAGTTGTAAAATGCTACTTTTTGAATTTCTCAAAAAACCTATTGTTAAATGCTATATCGAAGTTGTAAATAGAGTTACAAAAGTTGTTAACTGTTATACTGAAGGTATAAAATTTTTCAAAAAAAATTAATTGTTAAAGTTATAAAAAAACCATTTTTTTGAATTTGTAAGAAAACATGTTGTTAAATGCTATACCGAAGTTGTTAATAGAGTTATGGACCTTGTTAACGACATTACTGAGTTTTAAAAATGCTACTTTTTGAATTTTTCAGAAAACTTGTTGTTAATTGTTATACTGAGATTGTTAATAACATTACAAAAGTTGTTAATCGTTATACTGAAATTGTAAAATTTAAAAAAAAAAGTAGTTGCTAAAATTATAAAAATGCCATTTTTTTGAATTTTTAAGAAAATATGTTGTTAAATGTTATATCGAAGTTGTTAACAGAATTACGAAACTTGTTAACGGCATTATTGAAGTTGTAAAAAGGCTACTTTTTGAATTTCTCAAAAACTTGTTGTTAATAGCATTACAAAAGTTGTTAACCATTATACTGACGTTGTAAAAATTTTCAAAAAAATTGTTTTCGGCTGTCGGAGCTCCGGCAACCAATTGTTGAATTTTTCAAAAAACCTGTTGTTAACTGCTATATTGAAGTTGTTAATAGGTCATAAAAGTTGTTAATTGTTATACTGAAGTTGTAAAAATTTTTTAAAAGATTGTTTCCAGCTGTCGGAGCTTGTTGAATTTCCCAAAAAACCTGTTGTTAACTGCTATATTGAAGTTGTCAATAGCGTTACAAAAGTTATTAACCGTTATACTGAAGTTGTAAAAATTTTCAAAAAACTTGTTTCCGACTGCCGAAACTTGTTGAATTTCTCAGAAAACCTGTTGTTAACCGCTATACTAAAGTTGTTAATAGCGTTACAAAAGTTGTTAACCGTTATATTGAAGTTGTAAAAATTTTCAAAATTTTTTTTCCCGACCGCTAGAGCTTGTTGAATTTCCCAGCAAACCTGTTGTTAACTGCTATATTGAAATTGTTAATGGCATTACAAAAGTTGTTAACCGTTATACTGAAATTGTAAAAATTTTCAAAAAAATTATTTTTGACCACTGGAGCTCCGGTGACCAATTGTCAGCCGGTTACTGGAAGCCGGCCAGTGGAGGTTTTGGTATTTTAAAAACAATAAATAAAATGAAGGGTAATTTGATCTTTTCTTTTAACATGATAATCCTAATTTGTCTCTTGAGACCAAATTAGAATTTATCAAATTCAGCAGACTATTTAAGTATTATGAAATTCAAGTGATATTTTTCTGTTTTTTTCTCAAAATTATATTAGCACATAATATTTAAATGAAGTACTTTTACCTGGTTGCCTTTTCTAGCAAATATACCGGACTAGCCAGCTGGGGGCTTGAACCTTGGAGGAGCAACTGAAAATCTCTCGTTTGAGTTTGGGAGCAACAATGTCGGGTTTTCCCTTTGGATCCTCCTCCTCTTCTTCCTCCCAATCTTCATCTCCATTTTCGTTCGCTAACACTTCATCCTCTTCTGCTTCACCTTTCTCACTCGGTTCCTCTCCTTCCCCTTTTGGGCCAACCGCAGCCTCCACCGGATTTTCGTTGGGATCATCCCCTTCCCCTTTCGCCTCCTCCTCTTCTTCCTCAAACCCTAGTTCTTCTTCTTCCGCACCTTCTCTCTCTTTCGCACTCAACTCCGCCCCTTCCTCTGCTCCTTCTTCATCTTCGTCTCTTTTCTCCACTTCAACCACTGCCTCTGCTTCGGCTCCGTCTCTCGGGTTCGGATCTACCCCTTCAACTTCTGCTGCTGCTTCTTCGGCGAATTCATTGTTCAGTTTTAGTTCGGCAGCACCCAACTCATCGAGTTCCACTCCATTGCTATTTGGGTCATCTTCTGCTGCTCCATCTTTTTCTCCTTCCGTATTCGGGGCAAGTTCCGGATCGTCCCTTTTCGGGTCAGCCCCATCAGCAGCTTCCGGGTCGTCTCTTTCTGGTTCATCGACGCCGTCTTTGTTTGCGTCATCTGCATCATCTTTGAATGCTACCTCATCCTTATTCGCTTCATCTTCATCTGCAGGGGCCAGTTCAGGTTCCTCGCTGTTTGGGGCATCTTCGGCTCCAAGTTCTAATGCCACCTTGTTTGGAGGGACGACTGCTGGAGCGGCGCCGTTTGGGCCATCAGCTACCAGCGCGAGTGCGGGGTCATCTGCGTCCATCGCAGCTGCTGGGTCTTCCCTGTTCGCAGCTTCTTCGGCTTCTTCTTCATCAACAGCTGTTTCCGCTGCATTTCCTGCTTCAAATTTGTTTGGTTCTTCTGCTCCATCTTTTGCTGCTACCCCCGCTTCTTCGCTCTCGAGCCCGTTCTCTGCTGGTTCTACCCCAAGTTCAAGTCCAGCTCCACTGTTTTCTTCTTCTCCTTCTTCAGGCTTTTCCTTCTCTAGTGCTTCGGCATTTGCTAAGCCGTCTACGCCCACTACTGTAACTTCTGCAGCCCCTTCGCTGACGACATCGTCTTCTTCCTCCTCCGGCACATCCAGCTTCTCATTTGGAACTGCTTCCATTTCTGCTCAGTCTTCTTCACCTTTTGGCAATGCAGCCTCAGGAAGTTCAATTGCTAGCGCACCTGCTGCAAAGACGCCTTCGTCACCATTTGCAACCTCTGCGGCTCCACTATTTTCAACAGTCACGACCACTTCGGTTTCAACCCCAGCGTCTAGTTCTACAACCCAATCTACTTCTGCGCCTATATTTAGTGTGACTTCTTCTGCAAGTACAGCTACTACAGGAATTGCTGCCGCTTCTGCTGCCTCTTCAGGCAGTGGAGGATCTTTTACAGGCTTCAGTCTCACTAGCAGTACTGCTGCTTCTGGAGGTGCAAGTTCTACTTCTGGCTTCTCCTTCTCAACTAAGCCATCGACTTCTGCCTCATCAACACCTGCGGTGTCAAGCGGCACTGCACCTGTATTTGGTGAGTTGGATAATTACAGTCTTTTTATTTTTGAGGCATTTGTTACTTATACTTAGAGACCATCACGATACTTATTTGCAACTAGCGTGTGTGGCCTTTGCTAAACTCTATTGTTTTCCTCGTCAAAGTATAGTTAATGGATTTTCTTCTTCCTATGTATTTTTAGAAGCCTTTTCTATCCTTCTTGAAAGTTCATTTTGATGTTCTACTATGCTTTTTGCTAGAAATTGGGGGAAGTAAGCATGAATAGCTGAGGGCATATTAAAGTAGATTATTTGTTCTATAATCTAAATGATGTGGACTGTTAAATTTATTGACTGTAACTTTGCAATCTCATGAGTCTACTCTAGAGGATGAGTGGAAATTTACTGGCTAGTAGACATGCAAGGGGGTGCAGATAAAAGGTTGATGACTTTATTAGGATTTATTTATGCAAGGTTCTGTTGGTTCCCGTCACTGGTCACTACTATTGTTTTGTTAATTCTTGCGAGGTGTTTTTTTACTTTCTAGTCTTGTGAAATTTGTGAAGGAGAGATACTTATATTGAGAAACAATAGGCAGTGATAACATTTACTAGGAATGCAGAATGTTTTCATAACATGCATTTAGTAATTAGACTTGTGATGGCACAAATGGGAAAGAAACTTCTGCGTCTTGTGGAGCCTCCCTAGGGATAAAGCTTTGTGGGCCCTCAGTTCACATTCTGTTGTGCGTTGAACTTCATCCTGAGAGACAGTGGAACAAAGGAAAAGCAAATGATGTCAATCCTGAGACTTTGCATAATGTTAGGATTGATTTTCCCCTCATCTACGCGTTAGTGTAAGCTATAAGGACCTGTACTTCTACGGGATTTGTTTTTGAGTCTCTGAGCAGAAAGCTTGACATTGTTTTCTACCGATTGTATTAACAAATCATAAGCCAGAGGCTTGGGAGAACTGCTGGCAATGTGTGCTTCTGGAAGTAACTATGTTGTTGGATACATTTTTATTGTTGATCGCAGTGCAGAGAGATTTTTGTTAATTTTGAAGTTTTGGACAAATATACTGCATGATGTTGTGGGCTTTGAGCATCCAGGAGTCATGGATGTTGGTTGGCTTAGATCGTAATAAGTTTGTCTCTTTTTAATTTTATTGACGGCTCTTTTCTCCATTGCTTTAGGGTCCTTTTTTTTTTAATTAATTTCTTTAATTACTTGAAGTCTGCATGATTGGGTTAGGGCAGGTACCTTCAGTTAAACTTGATATCTTCCTCTGTACAATGCGCAGGATAGATGATAACCAAAAAATTTTAGGAATTAAACTCTGCTGAAATTTGTAGAAAAAGACTTAAGAGAAAGGTTACCCCAAGTCCAATGAAATGTGTGGGGAAAGATTGAAAGAATACACAAAAAACTGTATGAGGCCTTTGTGAACCTGCTCTGATCATGGCTTATGAATAATGTGGATGTTGTTTCCTATAGATTTTATATGTTATATTGATGATTTTTTCTCCAGATAGTGGTGCGCAGCAACTTAGGGATGAACTTCAAAATTGCAACTTACAACTGTGGTACTGTGTGTATTGATAACTTTGAAACAACTTATGAATGCTAGGGCTGAACAGTTAATTAACTAGAGGCATAAGTATTAGTATTATAGAGTATTTATGGCATAATCTTAACCCCAGACCTTTAAAGCTGTATGACTAAAAGCTGACAAAAAGCTGCAAATCATGGGTAGCGGCATTGGTTGGCCCATATGAGGTTTTTTGGCACACTTGTCTGGGGAAAAAATAGTAGACATCTGAAAAGATCGCAGAGGAACAAGTTTACGGAACAAGTCTAGGGGGAAGTTGGGAGAAAATTAAAGGGGAGTTTTGGTTGGGAAAAATGTGTTTAAAAAAGGATGTACATCCCCAAACTTTTTTCTCTAGGATCTGCTTTCAAAGCTTTCAGCCTTTATTTACAGAGAAAGGCTGAGTAAATTCCCTTTTGTTGGTGATTAGAAAAGTGAGATTTAGTACACAATAGCACGTATCATTTGATGAATTCTTAGGAGTTCGCTACTTTGTGATAAGATAGATCCCTATCTATGCCCTTGAACTTGAATTAGAATAGGGATCCGCGTCATGTAATCTGACTTCTTGCTTTAGATAAGCTCATCAAATGGATTCCTTAATTTTATGGCTTGAAAGTACCTCTGCTAACTTTTGAGAGCATTAATCTTTCTAAACGAATACGTTATTATTGTTTTTAATGATAATTTGTTTTTCTAGAGAATTTTTCTCTCCTGTGACTCTTGGTGAGGCTGCATCTTGAAATTTACTCTTTGTGAATTCTTTAGACTTCCCATCTCCCTATTTAGGCCCAGTGAATGTAAATTTTGTCCCAAAATCTTATTGAGTGGCTAATCCAACAATTGGTACCATATGGGCCATACGTTGCCCATGTTGTATCCCTATTGGTTGGGATTTCATCTCTGGGGCTTATTTAACTGTTCATGTTTTATGTTTTCTGAGGTCGTGCTCTTTCTAGTCATTCCACCTTTAAAATTTTTCTGCCAAAAAGTAACTGATCAAGGGGTTTGTTTAAATTATATTTCGATTTATTTTATGCTGAATTGAATAATATGTTTGGGTAGGGGATTTCATCACTTTGAGAGTTGGTTTCCTTCTGCATTTCCTTTTTAATTTCATTGTAGTAGATTCTTAGCTTTGTTCTTGTAAACTTTTTCTTTTTGACTGACCTAATTCTTTTGCAACGAGAATGTGTTTTACATTCCTAACTCCGAAGGCTTATGTCCCGTTTTTCACTCTACAATTCTGCAGGGTTTACCACTTCATCTTCTGCAGCTCCAGCAACTTCTGTTTCTGGCGCTACTTCCGGACAGACATCATCATCCCTGGTTGTAGCTTCCACCAGTGGGTATGTATACTTTATTTTGGGTAGCGAGTAAAGCATTTTCCTCTGCATCTGCGGTAACTTTTTCTCTCTGGGTTTTCTTGTTTAAATTTCTGATTCATGCAGTAAAAAATATTGGTAGTCAGAGGTGCTCACCAGCACTTCTATGCATTGACAAGTTTTCTTCTTTCTTTGTTTTGTCTCTCAATTCTTGAACCAGGTGCTGTCACTTTCGTACATCTTGTGCACTGAGTCCCCTGCCCTTTTTTTTGGGGCAGGCACGGGGGGTTGCACTGTGTAATTGGTCATTACATTTTGATTCTGAACTAGGAGCTCTAAGTTTTGCTTACTGTGTTTTATTAATCATGGGGTGAGGGTGGATTGCCCTGCATAGCTGATTATTGCAACGTTTTGCATTTTGCTTCGGTGCTGTGCAGTTTTATTCCTTCTCTGTGTTATCCCATATTCATTTCCTCAATATTTGAAGTTAAATTATATTTTTTAGATTGTGATGCATATTGTGAGTCAGAAGGCTTACTTTCTAATCGTGAAAAGTATCCATTGTTTTGTAAGATACTGCATAAAAGTCTATTACCTTTAAAAATATAATGAGAAACCTAAAGTAGATATATACCTTTGGCAGGTAATTCAACTCCAGTTAGTTAAATCATTAAGGCAATTATGAAACTTAATTATGTTCAATCCACTGCTCGAAACAGACTATCAAATTCCAAAACCAACGGCATGTTTGGTAGATATCTTGGAAAACAGAATATGCAATATCTATTATATTCTGTTATCATTTTAGTATTGATCATCCTTTTTATTACTTGTTATTTCTGCACGAGCAAAATATTTAGCTGATCTAGAAAATTACTTTTTCTATTTCATTTTCCTTTGTATTTCATCTCATTGTGCATACCAAAATTACTGTTTCCTTTAATTATTTAAAATAATATTGTTGATTAAATCTGTTATCTAATTAATCGATCTTCTGTAAATAATTGATATATTAATGGAACGTAAAATACACAGGATTATTCATTGCTGGTATTTTAGTTAGAAAATAGTTCATTTTCAATATTCAACCTAAGATTGTTAGCGTATCTACTTGGCCTCAGCTCGAAGTTCAGTTTTAACATCACCTGGTAAAATTTCCATGGTGCGTTTTTATCATCTTTTAAGTGCTGTATGTGTTTGATTTATTGATTTATCACACGTTAAATAGTTGGAATGTGATTTTGACCGTTAGTTTTCTACTTTTTCAATAGAACCACTTCAACTGTCAGCACTTCAGTAACTGCTGCACCAAAATTACCATCAGAGATCACAGGAAAGACTGTAGAGGAGGTAATCTCTTTATGTTTCCTGTTTTATACTTCTATTTTCCTATGGGTTTATTGTCTCTGCTTTGCTTAAAAGGAGAAAGTTGATTCCCTCTTATGCACTATGCCCCATAAAATCAAGTATTTTGGTTGCTACTTAAGGTTGGATTGGGCATTTTTCTTTCAAGGATGCTAAAGAAGAAGAAATGCTTCTCCTGAAAGTCTCGTTGAGTACGTGAGAAAGTTTGGTTGAAAAAGAAAAGATTTGATACACTTATCGTGGACAAATTTAACTGCACATATTTAAAAACCATAGGCAAAACAATCACATGCATAGCATGCAAACGTACTCTTCTATCATAGCAAATAGGACAATGAATGGAAAATCTGTCAAAAGCATATTTCTTCCTACGTCATTGCTAAATATTGGTTGCTGATTTGGATAATTGTAAGTCTTTCTCTATCTACACGCATACACATTCTTTCTAAATTCATAGACTTCTCTAGATTATCAAGGAGTGGAATGCTGAGCTGCAAGAGCGTACTGGGAAATTCAGAAAACAGGCAAACGCCATAGCTGAATGGGATCGCAGGATTTTGCAGAATCGTGATGTTCTGTTAAGGCTTGAGGTCATTTCTATTGCTTACATGATCTTTGTGTAATAAACATGAGAACAGCTTATATTTAACATTGTCTGACTTCATAACTGATTTGTAATTCTACTAATGTTTCTAAATTTAATTTAGATTGAAGTGGCAAAAGTGGTTGAGACACAGGCAAACTTGGAGCGTCAGCTGGAGTTGATAGAGACTCATCAACAAGAGGTATTTTAAAGACCATTTCTGAGTAGTTTTGGTAGATTCTTTTCATGCTCTATTTTAAATAATATTTGTTTTTACTAGCGTGCTTATGTTTTAGATATAATTTGTTCTTATATTTTATAGTTAGTTAAAAAAAAAAAATTGCTTGAAATGCCCATTGAGAGTACCGCTTTCCTTATCACATGATTATATCTTTTTGATGAATGCTATGACTCTCTCTTTTCTTATATCTGGTCAAACTTGCATGTGAGATGGTGTATGAACTCAAACTCTGATTCCAAATTCTAAATACTTAATATATAATTTTATGAACTTGTGATAGTCACTAGGTCATTTTGGTAAACAAGCATGTATTAAAAAGTGACAAGATTGTCATACAGCCAATATGGAGGAATTTAGTTATCTAAGAATCACCTATATGGGTCCATCTTTTGGGCATGGAAAGTGGAATTTGACATTTTTTAAAATTTAATGACATGGTGCACAGTGCGCGCGCGCGCAATTCAACAGATTGTGGCACATAAAAAATGTAAATTGAGTTTTGAATTACATATGATAGCAATAATGTGAAACATGAGTTTCCAGCATAAATATGATGTCCATACTAAGATACAAATAAAAAGCATAAATGATAAAAGAATACTTCTATTCTGTCGCGGTACTAATCTAAGGATTGATGAACCTTGAATGAGGTAGCTCTGCTATATTCCGTCACAGCATAATTTGCTCAGAGGATTAATGAATCGAAGAAAACAGACAATGCTTCAGTTTGAGACATCAAAGCAAACAAATGAAACATGCATCGAGCATTGAAGCTTCAGAGTGTCAATGTTCCTCTTTGCTTCGGTCGCTCACAAACGTGATTTCAAGATGAAGAACTTGTGATTTTGAAGGTGTTTCTTCTGTGCCCTCACTGATGAAAGATAAAAAGCATAGGTCAAGCAAATGACTTTGCTTTTGCTTGTTTTGATGCTCTTTTTATGTGATAAAAAGTGGTCGAAATGCACCGAACAAAAAGAAAAAGGTTTTAACGTGTGCATACAGTCTATAAGCATACCTGCATGGAGTATTTACCTGATAAAGGATACCATTTTCAGTGCATCTTTGCTTCTTTGCCAATTTTTTTATCCAGTATAGCCAGTGGGAGTGCATGCTAACTCTCTGCACTCAATGGTGCGACATAGTACCTGTGTTTTTTTTTTCCAAATCAAGGGTATTGCCTGCAGCACACCTGCGCTTTGTGAATTATACACATGCTCATTATTGTTGCCCATTTATTTTAGGTTGATAAGGCTTTGCATAGTATGGAGGAAGAAGCTGAGCGTATTTACAAGGATGAGCGTGGTTTGCTTCTTGATGACGAAGCCGCATCCACAAGAGATGCAATGTGGGTATTTAAATTTTCAAATCTGTTTTCTTTCCTTATTGGCTGAATATTACGGGGTCCAATATATTTTAACGTTGCACTTCCTCTTTTTGCCCCTCCAAATACCGCATTAAAAGGTCACTCCTTTTAAGGCTTGTCTGCATGGGTTATGCAATTTTGCATAATTATTCTTCAACTTATATTTGTGATAATGAACAATCGATCTTAATTGTGCTAATTAATCTTCCGGGCTACGTACCTTTATTGTGCTGCCTGGTTTACCTTACGCCCTAGATGGTGTGTCCTTAGATGAGTTAGTACTCAAGGAGTTTGTAATCCTTGCATAGGTGTTATCTGAATTACGGAGCAAATTGCTTCATGCTTAAATTTGTATGATAGTTCTTGCAACAACATGAAAGATTATTCTAGAAATTGCAAGGTTTCATCATATTTATTTTTGAGTTCTGAAAATTTTAGTAGTTATCGGACAAGCTTTCTTTGCGTGCTCAACCTGTTTTTTTGGTAATTGGGGGATTCATATTACAGCTTTAGGGGCTTATGCAAGTGAAGCCATATTTTCCTTGCAAATTATCGGATTGGTGATCTGATAATTTGTCTGTCACCTGGTGCATTGGATCCTCTTGTGGTTTATTATTATTATTTTTAATCAATTTTTATTTTTATTTTTTCCTCTTGCAGGTATGAGCAAGCTGAATTCATAGAGAGGGAAATGGAGCAGATGACGGAGCAAATAAAGTCAATTATTCATAACCTTAATGCCAGCCAGGTAAACATAGTAGTTGATGCTCCTTTGTTAAAATATTAAGACACGATGCTTACACAATATTTTGTTAGGGTGGAGAACTTGATGCTCTCGATGGGATGAATCCATTAGATGCAGTCGTACAAATCCTTAACAATCAGCTAACTTCACTGATGTGGATTGATGAAAAGGTTCGCATCTTTTGCTATATCTAATTTTAATTGTAATTATAATTTTAATATATAATTTGGCATTGTTTGCTTAATCCGCTTGCCAAATCAACAATGTTGCATTTGGACTCTGCTCCAAATGGAACTCACACGTACGTACGTCCATGCACAAGTGTTTCTGATGTCTTGGTTTTGTTACTTCGACTTGGTACCCTAAGTGAAGGCTAATGTTTCCTTTCTGACGCGCCAATCACTAAGAATTTGGGGTCGTCAGTCATGTAGAGATATCCTCAAGTTGACAACAAGCACTTTATTATCTTACTTGCAAGAATGTTTGGATTTTGATGGAAGACACATAAATGATCGTTTATAATTAAATATATCATCGTGTCCTTGTGAAAATTATTGGAGGGTGAATAAGAGAACTTGCATTGAAGGTACTTGGCGATGCAATAATAGCACTCTTTTATGCAAAATAGCTGTGCATGGAATGGGAGGAGAATAGTGCTTATAAGGGATATTTATCATGCGAATTCACTGTTTTTAATAATTGTTGGAGATCAAAATTGTTTGAGATGTTTTGTCCATTTTACGTTATTCTACAGGGTACTGAAGTTAATGGGCAAATCCCTCCATTAGCTTTTAGGGGAGGATTCCCATGCGTACTTAGGTCCTCATTAATTGAAAGGACACCTCTAAAGAGGAATCTTGTCAGCCCTTTTGCATGGGGCTAAATGCGAAGTTCCTCTTGTGGTTGGCCCTTTATGATTTACACCCTTAGATCTCTATCTATTGGTGCGTTAACTTTGGTTTTAATTCAAAAAAAGCTTTGATTTTTTTTATTTTATTTGGAAAATAGCTTTACCTTTGAAGTGTAAGTATTTAGTTCAATTTGTTCTTTGCATTCCACTGCAATAGCTAAAGTTCATCGATATTTTCCAGGCTGAAGAATTTTCTTCCCGCATCCAGAGGCTTGCCAACCAGGGTTCTGTTTCAGATCGAGAGCTTACAGGTCCAAGATTCTGGATGTCCTCTTGATTTCTAGGATTTATAACATCCTGCTATTTGGATTAAAACAAGATGCACATCATCATTATTGAATATTGTAAGTGCTGATTGCAAGCAAGCAATAGGTTTTTTTTTTTTTTTGGGTTAACTTTTTAAATGAAATGAACCACCCTTACAGAATGATTCTGATCATATGACATTTTGAACTGTGTTTCTAGACTTGGTTCCTTTGAAGATAGCAGAATGGCTGTTTACAGTTTCACTCTAGTTATGAGACTCTAGGTAGAGCTTCATGCCTACTTTATAGCTACCCAATTACCATCACCAAATATATTAATTGTTGGATAATTGAATCTCTGTCCCTTACTTGGTGTCCGCTTTCAGATTGATCGCTATTTTTGGTGGGGATGATGGGATCGCCATTTTTTGTTTTCTTGCCAAACGCAAAACTCAGTTACGTTTCTTTTTTTTTTTTTTTTTGGAATTTTGAATCATATATAAAGTCTCTTACAATCATTAAATCTTGTGACAAATTCACAAACTTCATATAGATAAATTTAAGGTTATGCGCTCCTACAAATGTGTATGCGTAATTGCCAAGTCTGTGTTATGTATTTCCTAAAAACGTGTAGATGAGTTATAAACAATTACTCCTCTGAACTTGATATAAGATCTGTTTAATTAATTTGATTAGATTAAGAAAGTTAGATAAGTTAGTTAATTATAAGAAATGTGATGTTTTTTTAAAATATCATAATAATCTTTTTTAATATTTCTTCTATATTTTATTTAATTATTGATAAATAAGATAAATAGGTTTTATATTTAAGACTAAAATCAACTTAATAATTATGTCCTGTATTAAGGATCATAACAGTATTTCAGTTAGATGCAAGAGTTTATGAATTCTAAACCCCCCCCCACCCAAAAAAAAAAAAAAAGGTTTTGGTTAACGCTTTTCTGCACTGCACTGGTTGCCTTTTTTCTATACCAGTTCAATTACCGGCGTAAAAAAGCCATAAAAGAAACATGTCAAAGGGTATTTTCAACACTTGTTTGGAGCTGTTTTTGAAAATCATTTATACAAGTTAATTCTTTTTACGTATTTATTTTGTATTCTTAAATTACTGTTGAAAAGTTATTTTTAAAAAGTCATGTAATTTAGAATCAGGCTTGGCTTGGAAAAGGGCGCACAGATTATTCTTCATGGTGAATAGTGATGCTTGGGAAGCTGTGAATTTTTGTTAAGAATGGAGAACCCCAGTTGTTTTACTTGTGGAGTCTTTGACAATAAGTTTCCTGACCAAATAAGCCCTTAAAGAAACCCTGAAATTTTAAAGAAACCCTAAAATGGGACCATTTGAACCAAATTGTATTTTTCCAACTACCAAGAGAAGATTTAAGAAGAGTTTTAAATCAATTTGTATATATAATACAATATCTAGAATTCTAAATTAAAACATTAGTGAGTTGAAGTTTAAATTCGGATGAATCTTTTATAGAAATAAACTCTTCTAATTGTTTTTACTCAATTGCATAAAACTGCTTTTTAATAGTGAATGCATAACTTTTTTAAGATAATTCCCGTAACTTGTGGTATCAATTGATACTTAAAACGCAGGAAATATAAATCTGACATCAATTATTTAGGAGCAACTTTTCCGGTCCCAAATATAAGAGTTATTATATGAATGTAGTTTTCAAAGCATATGATTAAAATAAATATTTTAAGAAACCCAACATAGATTTTTAACAAATAACTAGATTATCTAAATTTTGAATTTCTATAAATGAGTGATTAATGGTCAGCGGTCATGACATATTCAACCACTTGAAAAAGTTTAATTTTCTTGTGTGTGTTCGGTTAGGGGCTGTTTTAGTAGGAATCTCAATCAGTTGCATTAGGATTGTCCCTGTAACTAAACTAAAAAACAATAATTATAGGTACATTATAAATTATAAATATGCTTAAAAATAATAATGGTAATAATAGGTTTTACATTTACAAATGAATAATTTAAAATTTAAAATGCCATTCTTTTCATGGAGTTCATACTAGCAAACTGCGTTTTACATTTTCTGCAGTTGCCCCTTGCCCGTCTCCAATATTTAGTTTTAAAATTTTAGGTCTCAATAAATAAATAAATTCTCATAACAACATAAAATACACGATGGGGTCTCTAAGAAATCTAAACATTGAACAATTTGAATTATAATTATTGATGATTTTAATCTAATGCTAACGATTTTTTTTTTATGTTTTTTTCTATTTTCTTTGTCAAATGTCAATCTCTACATTAATAACTACTTATCCAAATCTATAATAAATACTTATTTTGTATCATGTATACTTATTATTGTATTAAGTACACTTGTTTAACGTTGTAAACTAGGATTTGGCCCTTTAGCATCTCCACCTACAAGTAGCAAGGCTGAATGATTTTTTTGAAAGTACATCAATAAAATAAATAACTTGATAAATTGAGTATAATGAGTTCAACTTCAAGGATTGAATTGAAACTATAGAGGAATTAAATAATTAATTTTTGTTACTTTATAGATATGGATAATGTTTTCCCAATGAAAATGGCAGCTAACAAAAAAAAATTATTAGAGCTAACAATTTCTTCCTTTTTTTTTTTTAGGGTGATCCTTATGCCCAGCATATGGTGTCAGAGTCTGGCAAGTAGTATTAAAGACTAATAGTGAAAGCGAGATGTGTGAAAACAATGAATGCTCACCGCGGCCTTCTTTTTTTCGATGGAATTGAAGCACTAAATTAATGTACTATAATGCTTGCATCAGCTTTTACAACATCAGAAAGAAAATCCGGAATGTAACTAAAGGTAACTATGCCCTGCGATATACTGAGAGCTCTCTTGGCTAACAAATCAGCAGCACGGTTCTCCTCACGACGGCCCCATTCGATGCTCGCTTCCCATTCCTGACCGAGCCATCGCTGAATCTCAGATAGTAACTCCCCCTCCGGATGATCATCGTTCCACCCCCAGGAAAGGAGTTCGACAATGTCCATGCAATCTGTCACAATAACCACCCTCTTCCATTGAGAGTCCCACGCCCTCTTTAAGCCCCACAAAACTGCCCACACCTCAGCATGTAAGCTACTCCCATGACCCACGTTGCACATGAAGCCATTCAGAACCTCCCCCTCATGGTTCCGTGCAATACCTCCACAAGCGGAGCTAGAACCATCTTTAACGCAAGCATCGTCCACATTAACTTTAATACACCCTAAGAATGGCGGGTGCCAAACTCTGGAGTTTCTAACATCGTGCTCAGAAGTGTGAAGGCTAGGATTCGACCACCGTGCATTCGCTCGAACTTGAGCTATAAGTTTATCCGAACCAACAGCTCGTCCATTAAAAACTCCTTCGTTACGGTTCAGCCATAGGCTCCGAGTCATTATACAAAACCAGACACGCCACTCAACTCCCAGACATTCCTCCAACTGATCGATATTCCAATCCACCCATTGACCCACATTATCAAAAGCGAAAAATCTATCACTCATTTTTATGGGCACCGTCCTTCTCCAACATTCCCGTGCGATTTTACAGTCTCAAAGTACATGTAAAATACTCTCTGTGACTCCCACACACCAAACACAATTATCATTTTGCTGCATCCCCCTAGTAACCCGAGCATAGTTTGTTAGTAGCCGTCCCCGGACACACAACCATAGAAACATACGACATCTCTGGGGTACAGGAAGCTTCCAAAGCTTTCGCCAACTGCCTCTATTGCAGACAATATCCTGATAGCCCAACATATTGTATGCTGATTTAATTGAGAACATACCATCCTTTGTACCCCGCCATCGCACAGAATCAACCGCTTCTCTTCTAACACGTGGATACGTTCTCTCAATATTATAAAGCACTGAGCCTGGGAGGAAGCGAGCAAATTTCACCCACAACCAAGCACCATCCTCATCTAAATACTCGGCAACCTTGTCATCAAGCATATAGAGGGGAACATTCCTGGGAGCATAATCAATTAATCGTCCATGGTGTGGGAGCCAGAAATCCTTCCAAAACTTTATTTGGATACCATCACCGAGTTTCCATTCTATACCCTTCACAACCGAGTCCCAAACTTGGCTAATCCCCTTCCAAGACTGAGAACTTCCTTCCCTTCTCTCCACCTTCGGGATAATATCTGCGCCGCACTTATATTTTTCTCTAACAAATTTGACCCACAATGCATGCGGATTCTTAATCATTCCCCAGCTAAGCTTCATCATAAAAGCTTTGTTTTGGGAACGAGAATTTCGAAGTCCTAGACCACCCTCCTCCTTTTGCCTACAAATATCCTCCCAAGCTACCAGATGAACTTTCCTTGAAGACCCCGAGCTACCCCATAAGAAGTTTCGACACTTTTTATCAATTTCATCACATACCCCCAGGGGAAGAGGGACGGTCTGCATAGTGTATGCCGGGATTGTGGCAATGACTGACGAAACAAGAGTATGTCGACCCGCCATAGACAAAGTATTAGTTTTCCATGCTGCCAGACGACTCTCCATTTTATCTAAAACATATTGGTATGTTTGTTTAGATATTCTCCGGTGATGTAGAGGCACCCCTAAGTATTTACCCAAGTCTGCCGTAGGGGTAAAACCAAGGAAGCTACTGATCTCAGTCCGTCGGTTATGATTCACATTATGAGAGAAGAAAATTCTAGATTTGGCGTCATTCACTTTTTGTCCGGACGAAAGACAAAAATCATCTAAGCAAGCCTTTATCAAACCCGCTTGTTCCATATTAGCTTCCGCAAATAAGAGTAGATCATCAGCAAAAAATAAATGAGAGATCTGAGTTCCATTCTCTTTCAATTGGAATGGAAGCCAATTACCTTCCTCCACCTCATTTTGAATTAAATGAGCCAATTTCTCCATAACAAGAACAAATAAGTAAGGCGAGATAGGATCACCTTGTCGGATACCCCGGGAAGGGGAAAAGCTATCACCTTTTGCGCCATTCCAGATAAGTTGCATTTGGGCTGAATTAAGACAGTAAGATATAATCTCCACAAAGTTTGATGGGACAGTTAACTCCTTCAAACAATCAAGAACAAAGTTCCAACAACTCGATCATAAGCCTTCTCCAAATCAATCTTTAGAGCCATAAAGCCCTTCTTCCGCTTCATATTTCTCATGGAATGAATAATTTCTTGTGCCAAAATAATATTGTCTGAGATTTGTCTTCCCGGGATAAAACTACATTGATTAGGAGCTATCACATAGGGCAGAATATGCTTGAGACGATTCGCTAAGATCTTTGTAATCGCCTTATACACCACGTTACAAAGACTTATAGGACGGAAGTCTTTAAATGTTTGGGGCTGGTCAACTTTAGGAATAAGAGCAATGTTTGTACCATTCACCCGTGCAATATCCTTCGGGTTGTGAAACATGAATTGAGCCATATCAACAACTGAGGGTCCCACTATTTCCCATTGACTTTGGAAAAATAAAGGATTTAGTCCATCTGGTCCTGGGGCCTTTAAAGCACCCATACTAAAAATAGCGTTTTTAACTTCATCCCTTGTAATGTTCTTACCTAAAACTGCCAAACTGGTCCTCGGTACTTCAGGGAAGGATCTTCCAAAATGAATAATATTGGTAGACTCGCTTCCTTCTCGATAAAGAGTCTGAAAATAATTCGTTCCACATCTCGTAAGCTCTACATGATCATAACTCCAGACCCCATCCTCAACTCGTAGAGCTTCTATGATTTTCTTCCGTCGTTGACAATTCGTAACAGTATGAAAGTATCGTGTATTGCGATCTCCATGAAGGTACCAACTACATCGTGATCTTTGAACCCACATCAATTCCTCCTGCATCAAACATTGCTCAAGTTCTTTCCATGTCTCATGTCTTTTCCTCTCCAAAGCTTCATCCATACCAGTCAAAAGGTTAAGCTTCTCAATTTTCTTTAATAAAGCAGCTTTTCTTTTATTGATATTACCAAACACGTGTTTATTCCACTCCTCAACGTCCAACTTAAATCGATTAACGTTTCCTTCCCAGTTTGCAGAATCCCTCCAAGAGTTACGTACTACCTCCGAGAAACCCTCATGTGTAACCCAAGGCGCAAAAAACCTGAAAGAATGGATTCTCTGAGTTCTTGTGATATCATTTTGTAATCTCAATAGAAGTGGACAGTGATCAGACTTCATCTTGGGCAGGTGCAGTACTGATGCTTCGGGAAACGTTCAAACCAACTCGAGTTAACCAGCACTCGATCAATTTGACTATAGGATTTGCCTCTACACCACGTGTAACTAGACCTTGGAAATCCACCTCTGCCAGCTCACTTCTTTGAACCCAGCCCGTGAAACATCGGTCAGGTCCTGTACTAGATTTTGCGATAGAAACCCTCTCATTCCGTCGTAAAGTAGCATTGAAGTCACCACCTATACACCAATCTCCCACACCCGAACTTTCAATGAACTGAAGTTCTTGCTAGAGAATTCTGCGAGTCAAATGATTAGGGTGGCCATAAACAACCGAGAGATCCCAAGAGTCGCTACGTCCTTTGTTAAAAGTACCGTGCAACACTTGTGATAATTTATGAGTGACAGAAAAGTCCACCTCTTCGTCCCAAAGGCACCAAATTCCCCACTGAAGCCCATAGCTTCCACAACCTCCACATTTTTGAAACCCACTTGTCTAGCAAGCATCTGAGCCTTAACACCTTTTTGACGCGGCTCCAACACCGCTAGAAAAGTAAATGCATGGCGTCGTTTCAATTCCACAAGGAGTCTTCCAAAGGTCTTACCACCCGCACCGCGAGAATTCCAAATCATAATTTTTATATTCATAACAACACGATTTAATAGAAAAGATAGCACAACAAGTTACTGACCTTCAAGCTTGGGGTCACCCCTATCAGCTATGACTGCGTCATTTTGTCCAACAGAAAGAGGATTTGAATGGACCATGAAGATACCTGACTTAGGCGCCCCAGGGTCTGCAATATTTTTATATTTAGTCGCGTTATCTTTCGCAACTTCACACGGTGTTTGGATAGCACTCAGGCGAGTCACAGCAGCCCTTCGGTAAAGACTAGCGGCCTCTTGTTCAAACTCCATCTCCATGGTACCCTCTACTTGATTGGTTGTAATAAAATTTACGTCACTGCCTTCGCCTTTATCATTTTCCTTTTCAAGACCCGATTTAGCTTTTGTCCTCATTAAGCCCTCCATACCACTTTGCCCTTCCTCTTGCTCTTTTATTTTTGGAAATTTGGATACGGCAGCCCCACTCTCACCAAACCCATTATTTAGCTTTTCCTTACCTTGCCCAACATTCTTACCTCCTCGTGGCCCACTTTCCTTGTTCTCGCTAGGCACACTTGATCGCTCCACATTAATGGTATTAGAAATGTCAACTAAGGGATTCTTGCCATTCTTATGCGCATATTGCGATTGACTAACGGGCTCCTCCACATTCAGAACTTGAAATCGAGATCCTTGCCCGTCAGAATTAATTTGGCTGCGATAGTCACGCCTATTTGCATGAACTTTTCCATTATGGGGCTCCGGTCGGCGAGGGCGCCGTGGACGCTGAACCACCATCCATGAGTCATACTGGGATGCCGACGTGCCATCAAATGTCTTCCCATTCTCAGGATTTGATCTCTTCTCCGTCTCTGTTGGGGTTACTCCTCCTTCTACCTTGCTGTTAGTCTCCTCAGTTCCATCTACTTTCATGACGTTTGAACCATGGGCAAGAGTTTTCACGAAAGGGCAGTGATCATAGCCGTGACCATAGCGACCACATTTAAAACAGATTAGGTGTATACCCTCATACTGCACCCTATACACCTTTCCGTTGATCAATACTAAAGAACGTAGTGGTGCGCTCAAGTCTAACTCCACGCAAATACGAGCGAACCTGCCTTTTTTCCGTTTCAGAGTCGCCGTGTCAATCTTCAAAACCTTCCCCACCTGCGTTCCCAAAACATGCAAAATACCCTTATCGTAGTAGTCAGTTGTTAGCTTCGGGACACGAATCCAAGCCGCAATCCGGTTGATATGTTCCTCCTCCGGATCAAACTCTGATTTCCAAGGTTGGACCGCAATATAATGATCGTAGGCTAGCCACGGACCGCCAGTGAGGGCTAGTTCATAGTCCGCGACATTAGTGAACTGCACCATGAAAAAACCAGAACCGATATCCATCATATCCATGTCACCCTCCCTTGCCCACAACTGGCGCAGCTTTGATTCGAAATAATCTGGGTTAACCATACGACCCAAGAGTTTGACGATCAACGTATTCTTCCACTTTTGTGCTAGCCGTGTTTTCTCTTTCTCAGGGATGATAATATTGGGGCCTAATGCAGTCATCTCGACGGTAATTCTCTCTTTCCAACGATCCGCACTCCACCAATCCTCCTCCTCCTCAATTGCCTTCCCTGAATCCTTCGTAACTGCATCCTTAAATGATTTCCACTTTGTCCCGGGCGGTTTATCAGCCACCTTATCCTCAGTCGCCTTATTCACGTCTGCTGTCTCTTCTACCGTACGCATCATCTCATCGTTCTCCATCCACTCCTCAACTCTTGGAACCAGATTCTGGGTGTTCGAGAAATCACCCTCCCCCGCCCTGACCTTCTTCCAGTTCCAAGCAGTGCATCGCGCACCTCCGCCATCGGCCGCGAACCCTCTCTCTCATGACTTCTCTCTCTCTCTCTCATCGAACCCTCACCGCGGCCTTCTATCGCTCACTGGCGTGAGGTCCTTGGCAATTTCATGGAGTAAGCTTTTTTCTTCCTACAGTGAGATCTGAATTTATTTGAGGATTAAAATCCAGCAACCCTAAAGTATTTTTTAAGTATATCTAACATCCTAAAATATTTAGAGTGCTGGTACCCTAAAAATTTTTTCCTACATCCAGCACCAAGGCAAAAAAACACTTCGGGGTGCTGGACACTCTTAAAAAGTAATTTAGAGTGCTTGATGTATCACAAAATATTTTAAGATATTAGATGCACCCAAAAAAATATTTTGAGATGCTGAATGTTTGTTAACTCTTTATTTTATTCAAATGCCAATGTTTCTTTTGGTTTAATTGGGTGAGTATACTTCATCCAAGAATATGCTGTGTTTTTCTGTTGATAAATACAAAATCAGAGCACATCATGATGAATGCTTCTGTAGTTATATACAAACAAGAAAACCAAGAGACTAAGCTATGGTACTAGAACCAGAACGGCTAGACGCATTAAAATGGAAGGAGTCATAGACTCATCATCTTAAGCCTTGTTTGGCAAGCAACATTAGGGGCTTAGGATTGAAGTTAAGAAAACCCACTAACTATTTTTTTTTGCGATAAAATGCATAATACTATGAATTGAACCCCAAGCCAACGATGATTCAAATGAGGCGTGAAGTGGAAGAAGATAACTTTTACCCATCGATCCACTATGTCTTTATCATAGGTGAGCGTAAGCAAATAGGTAGAGCATGACCAACAGGGATTGGGTTTAGCGGAAGGGATTAGTCCCTCATAACATGACGAACCAAGATTCGAATCTTTGCTGGAAGAGGTACCCACATTTAGTGCCCGATAGTGTCTCGAATAGAATTACCTCCAATAGGAGGATATTTATGCTTTAGCAAAAAAAAAAAAAATAGAGCATGTAAGAGATAGGTACAAGAATAGGGTTTATTAGGTGAAACTAGGATATTTTATTAATAGATGAAGATGAATCAACAGCACACGGTTTTATTTCAGGAGAATTATAATGAGGTCTCAAATAAATAAAAAATTATCAAAAGATTTCAATAACAATGTAAGCAGTCTATAATGGCAAATTTCAGAATAAAAAATAACAACTTTTATGACTTATTTTGTAATTATTTTCTTCTTAAGACCTTATTGTAATTCTCTTTTTCATTTTCGAGCAATCGGCAAAGGAAACTAAAATACCTTCCCTTTGGTATAATCAGTCTTTGAAAATGGCTCCTCCGAATCTGACAAACTCAATTATTTTTATATATTTTGGTATCTTTTATATGAGTTTTGTCAGCTTAATTGGTCCCTTTTTGCCTTAATTGATTTAATTTATTTTATTTTGAATTATTATTTTATAGGGGCAAAATTATCATATTTTGATTTAATTGTGAGTAATTATTTTTTTTAGGACAATTAATGCTACCTTATTTTTGAATTTTGTTTGCAGGTTTTTAGAAGATTTAAAAATGAAAATGAAAATTAAAAAAATGAAAAAAAAGATAAAAATAAAAGAAAAAATAAATTAAAAAAAATAATAAAAGCGGGAGCAAAACGCAACGTTTTGCCCCCCAACCTAATATACTATAATCCATCATCTTCGATTGAGGGACCGGAGACGGAAGCACGAACACGCCGAGCGAGCTTGGAGGCGGCGGAAAAGCAGAGGAGAAACGGAGTGAGGTCCAGAGCTCGACCGGGAAGAAGCGAAATCATCCATCCATCATCATCACCTCTCCCACCTCCATTCAAGACCATCATCATCGTCGACTTCTTCCTGGTGGCAGAGAGCTCGACGGCGAAGAAGCAGAACGAAGGGCCAGAAGTGTGGCCGACGGCACCAGGGGAGAGGGCGGCACCATCCATCATCTTCTTCTCCTTCTCGGCGTCAACAGAACCAGCGTGAGGAGAGGTGCCAGAGAGCTGGCCGTTGCCGAGGGAACTAGAAGGAGTGAGACAACGAAATCAGTTCCGTCACCGTCGAGCTTCCATAACAGAGCTCTGATTATGGCATTTTTGATGGCAAACCGAGGCTAGAGTTTCATAATCTTCCAATTCAACGATAATGGCAGGAGTTTGGATCATAAAGAGGAGTTTTAGTTGCTTTAATTTCTTACTCAATAATTGTTTAACAATTTCTAGGTTTTAGGATAGTTTTTCTGATTGTTGGGATAATTGTATTGCTTAATCTGATTATATTTGGAGATTATTGTGACTGAATTATTGCTTAGTATTTGACATTGGACTGTTTATAGTTTTGATTTCAATTATAATATTGTGGTTATGACATTTGTATTGATTTTAGAATTAATATATTGTGATTTTCTAAAGTGGTTTAGAATTTTGGATCATATTGTCTCTTGTTAGCTTTAATTCTGTTATTTTGGATTTAAGAGTTCTAATTAAACATTGGTCTTTAGCATTCTTAATCCCATTTTACTATTCTGGTTGCAGTTAGTAAGTTGAGATTTTAGAAAAATATTTTGTAGTAACTCGAGGTGGCTCGGTTGTTGGATCAAAAGTTTAATTATAATTCTTAATTCATTGTTTTTAACTCACACATCTTTTAGAGTGATGATTGCCTGCGTTGTTGAATTGGAGGATTGATTTTTATCAGTGTTATTTGTGTGTCTCATTTTTATTTCTTTAATCTTCATTCATTTTAATCATTTTTTACATAAAAAAAGTATTTTAATTTCAATTTAATTCATGGTGTTTAATTAGAAATTCTCAAATCAAAAATCCTTTTTATAATTTAGATTACTTGCATTTATTTACTAGGATTTAATTTCATTTTCGGCTCCTCAAAGTAAATACGACCCGGATTGTACACTATATTGCATTAATTCGATTAATTTTTGAAATAACTCCAAAGCGACAAATTAAGAGCAAGTTAACTTCAGAATCCAAGGTGGGGAAAGCTCCCAGTCCCACTACACAATAAACTTAAAGCGACCTAATTCAAAATTAAGACAAATTATAAGGACATGTGAATTAATTTTTCCTCAATTAAATTTTGTAGTATGTGACGAGACAGTGTCTAGGTGCTCCAAGGCCCCAAATATTGAAAATCCTAACTAATAATTCTCACATCACCCACTTGCAACATGTATTGTTAAACTCTACAATTTCCATCACACACTCACGCGCGCACACTATTTTTTGACGTTTGGTTTGAAGTATAATACAAAATTATGAAATATTTTATCATTAATGTGTTTTATTTTTTACATGATATTTTAAATGTAATGAAGTAAAATTTGGAGGGGAGAGTGTTTGATGGAGATTGGGGAATGGAGAGTATCAATTAACGGTAAAAAATGACAAGTTGGCTGATTGAGTCTGCCCAGCCTCATTTGCCAGAAAAACAGACAAATTTGCCTAGCTTGTAGATGGCCTATGCTTTTTTAAATAGTTTTTGCCCCTTTCTATTTTAATTTTAAAGAATAAAAAATTATTGTTTTGCATTTTTTTTAAGCATGAATATATTAAAAATATCATTTTTATATTAACAGTATAATTATGTAAGAATATTACATGCCTATATTTGTAAGTTTTGGGATTAATTTAATTATATAACTTCATAAAAATACAGATATTTAGTCTATAAATATTAATAATTCAATTTGAAATTTTAAAATGAACATTTGAAAAAGTTTTTCTTAAAACAAGAGAAAAAAGAAGGTTAGCGGGCCAGCTATAGCGGATCGGGGTAGAATTTTTCCAGCTCTTACCCCGCTCAATCTGTGTATGTTTTGACCTCTGCACACTTTTTTTTTTTTTTGGCCAAAAGCCCTCCACCCAAGTTAAACCAATCTTATTTTCGTTTGTTTTAAAATTTAATCAAATACATTTTGAGTGCAAAATATGAAAAATGAGGTGTACAAAGTACCAAGCAGGTCTAGCCATATAAAATTAAGAAATCATCCCACTTGAAGCTTGGCCCACAAACACACAAATTAAAAGAAAGGAACCAACCGGGTGTTGGTCGGAGTGGCAAATGCTCCTGGCCCCTTAATTAGAGGTCTCGGTTTTGAGCCCTGGGAATGGAGCAACCCCTGCTGGGAGACTTTTGCCCCCTTATTAGGATCTCGTGGGGTTGAACCGGATTAGTCAATTGCTAAAGGAGCTGGATACAAGTGGGAAACTAAAAAAAAAAAAAAAAAAAAAGGAGAAGAAAAACTGTGACCACCAAAATAAAATCCTCTTGGCTATCAATATGATAATGTCATAATTACAAACGGTTATTTGTACAACAAGAACTGTTTCTTCAAGACTTCACCACACAGCACACACAAATCAGCAATCATTTTTCTCTTAATCACTTTGAACTTTTCAGACATCAGCATTACAACCTTTGGACTCTGGCCAAGATTACAATCAAGATGATGACTACAGAGAGAAGCATAGATGACCTAACTTTTCCTTCCAGCTCTTGCTCTTTCAATGCAGCTTTTTCTATCTGATAAGATTGAAACAAAAGATTCAGAAGTGACTGAAAATTTTCTATCAGTTCCATAACTTTTCCCTTTATGACCTCCAAAATCCAACTTAAAATGTCAATGCTGACTTCTGGTTTGTCAGGAATCCGGGGCCTTCTAACCTCACCTACATGAAATAAATAATTCAATGAGAAAATAAGTCAAGTTAGTGGAAGTAAAATGCAAGCTATAGGACCAATGGGAACAGGATTTGGTGGAAGGGGTCAGCCTCTCATAATGTGGTGAACCAAATTCCAAATTTCCAATAAGAGAGATACTCGCATTAAGTTCCCCACAATATGTTGAAAGCATTGCCTTCAATAGGAGACACTTGCGCTTATCCAAAAAAAACATTGCAAGCTACAGGATGTGAAATTTGAGAAAGAGCCTTATGCAGTCATCAAAAGATTGTGGCATCACAACATTGAGACCTTAGATGAAACAAATCAGGGCAAGATACATAAGCATGTTAGAAGCAGGTTTCACAGAAAAGTGTCTGTCAGATGCCAACATTTTTATTTATAACTTGATTATTGATCTTGTGCATTGCCCAGAGTCTGATGAATAACTAGCATTATTCATGGCTTGTGAATAACACTGGCTGCTATAAATTTTTGTTCACTGGCTGTGGTTTGAAGAAATGCACAAGAATGCCCCCAGGTAACGGCCATATTTGACAAACGTCTGCATGTCACAAAATACACATATGAATAAACAGAAAACACACCTGAATTAGGTAAGTTTTGGAGATTCTGATTCAACACGTTCACGACAGCATCCCAAACTGTTTTATCTGATGACAGTGAAGTCACTAGTCTCTACATACAAGTCATAGTTTGAGAGACATGCTTAAATTAAGGGGGAAGTTGAACAAACACAGCGAAAGTCAGATAAGCTTTGCAAGTGGTAGAATAAAACTGAGAATAAGATTATCAAATTTAACAAGCAGAATCACTTATATTTATGACATTCAAGGGGGGAAAACTGTGTCTGTGGATATCTGGTATAATCAAATGGGGAACAATTTCGAGTTAGAGACTGTTGCAGAATTTGTGAAGATTTTAATCACAGATGAGTCTTCTACAGTCGTCAATGATTTTTGATAAACTCTTAGGACTACCATTACTTAGTAGACTATTAATACTTTCACCCAGAAATCAATAATTGCCTTGACTTGATCTAGAACTAAAAAAAAAAAAAAAGAGTTTTCTATCACAAGTTAAGTAGGCACCTTAATAGAAGGATCTGATAGCAGCAACTGGTAAGCATCATGCAGTCTCTTATATCCTTGAGAAAGCAATATGCTTGAATCATAAGTACCAGAGTTCTGTTGCAATGCCCTTGATGTTACTGCTTGCAGAAAACTGATTGAAAACGTATGTTAGAGTCTACATTAGAAAACCGTGAATTTTAATGTCATGTGATCATTCTGAAATAACTTCTGCAAACTGCAAATAAATATCAATTATGGCTCAGAAAATGCTCACTATTGACTTCACAATCTCCTGAAAAAGGAAAGGGTAACAACTTCTAGTCAATAGGAAAAAGAAAATGTAATTGACCTCCAAATAAAATACTGATTGATTTACTATGCATCAAAACAAGTAAGGTGAAGACAAAATTTACCAGCAAAACATTGCAGCAATGACTTCACAAACTCCCAGCTTCAAAGATTAGGTTCAAGATGACTTATATGGTTATGTTGATATGGCACGTAACTAATTTGCGCAAAAAAGTAATAAACATCCAATTTAACAAATCCATGTACGAGCATATAGAGTCATAAGTTGAAATGAATAAAAATTGGAATCACTTTCTATCATAAAAATAAAGGATCTTTTTGTGTCAGTATTCTCAGAAACGCCCTCTGAATCCAGTAACTAGGAAATGCCAAACTTTTTACCGACCCCAAAACACATTAAACAGATATGCACAAAGTGTAATACAAAGAATTATAGTCTAAAGATGCCCTAAATCGATCCAAAACAAATTGATTGTACAGGACGACAGTAAAATAGGCGAGGAAAAGCAGGAGCAAGATGAAGTCCTCACCTCTGAAGAGCCATAAGCGCGTCTTCAACTTCCGATTGAGACAGAACCGCATCAAACACATAATTATGGAGACACCCACTCGAACTATTTTCCTCTTTTCCATGTACAATTTCTAGTTTTCGGCCAATTTCACTGTGACAAAAGCAACAACACGCGGAGCTACTGTGGCTACTAACGGGTACGCCATTATCAGTTGAAACAGGAAGCTTACTATTCGAAGAAGAAGAAGGTAAGGAAGATGATATCACAATTGGGGAGCTTCTGGGCTGAGGCACAGAAGAACCAACATGCATGGTTCCTCCTCCCATTGCTTTCTCGGAAATGCTCAGCAATCAATGCACATTGTACTGTATGCCGTTATCAGAACATGTTATCTCCGATTGCCACATAATCCACATGTGATTCGACAATGGGCCCCATTTTGGGCCTTCTGAAAGATTTAAAGGACTATAGGCCCACTGGGCTATTCTGGCCAATTTTTATTCATCTGAAACAGTAGCTCAAGGGTTAGTGTTTTTAGCATTGTTAATAGAGCCGTCAAAATGGGTCAAACCTACCGGGCTAGCCCTTTAAATCCTTTTAAGTGAAGAACCAGCTTATATTTTAGGTGGCTTAAAGAGAAATTAGGTTTAAAAGGACTAATTCTATAGGGCTTAGAAATAAAAGGGCTAGTCAGTTAGAGACAAGGGTCAGCCCTTTTAAACTTGTCTATTTTTTGTTATTATCAATATATTTATAGAGTTGTGGATTAGTCTTTTATGAAGAAGTTTGAATGAGAAAAATATTTAGAAGAACCAACACTCAAGCTAGATAATTGAAAAGAATTAGATTTCTTAGACTGGTGGAAGAACAATTAAAATCAATTTTCAGTTGTTTCAAGAACAATAGCTGATATTCTTAGCACTCCAATCATTACAGTAGCTAGTAAATCTTTCTTTACCATTGGTTTACATGTCTTAACAAAGTGTAAAAATTTTCTTATTCTAACAAATGTTCAAGCTCTCATTTTTACACATAACTGCTACATAGTTTTATTTTAGATAAGGGAGATGAAGACAAAAATCTTAATATTTTTACCATTGAAGAAGAGCTTGCTTAATAAAGAACAATCAAATATTGCTGATCTTATGATACTGATGAAAATGAAGATAAAGATAATAATCATGTTGATATTGTTAATTTTTAGCTGCTGGGTTTTTATTTTTCTGTTTTTCGTGTTTTGTTAGATTTTTTATTTATTTTAGATAATAGTTTATTAGTATTTAATGTTTTGTTTATACACCATCAGTTTATTTTACTAATATTTATAATTTAAATAAAAAATCTTAGAAGTTATTTTATTTTATTTTTTATTTTAAAATAATTGAAAAGAATTTAAATTTTAAAAATTAATATAAAAGAGCCAATCTTTTTAAGCCCTGAACCTGCATATCCAAAGACCGGGTTTTAATAATTAGATAATTTTAAGATATACTTGCTTTAAAGGGCTGGCCTTTTTTTTTTTTTTTTTTACAGCTCTAATTGTTATAGTTGAATCAACCCAATTATGATTAAAATTATACAATTTAATTAAAATACACCAAAAATATTCATAGATAACCTGAAAGGCATTAATCTATTAATAATAGAATATTTTTGTGTAAAATATAAAGTTATTCAAGCAAAAATTTGACGGACCACTGCTTATTTTAACTTCAAACCACGATGATTCAGGTTTAGCAAAGAAAGAAAATAAAATAAAATCGAACCCCATTCAATCCTCCCAAAACTTTTAATTGGATCACTCAAATAATTAATATTGATTCATTGATCTGATCGGCCAATCAAAATTGAGTCTTGATCGCATGTATACTGTATAGCTGTTAACATTTATAGAGTTTAAATTCTGAAATTTAGATCTTGAGATTTAGGCGCTTTGCTATTGAAATGGCTGTTAGTACTGCACCGAGAGAAAATATCAAAAGTATAAAAATAATTGAATTAATTTTTCTTACTATTTTATTTCACATCTTCTGTTTTTTGTTAAAATTTTATAACCCTTGAATGAGACCTTGTGAGGAAATTTGGGCATGTTTGATTCTGTTTTAATTTTCTTCTTAGAACTATTTTATAAAATTATTTTTAGAACCAGTTATGAAAATAAAAAAATTCTATTTGAATAATTATTTTTAAAAACCACATTCAAAATAAAACTTTTTGTCTCAAAATTCGTTAGTGGCGGAATTTTTTCATCCCTAATTTCTATCATGAGACAAAAATCAGTGATGGAATTTTTTGAAACTAAATAGGCATTTAGATTAATTTTTTGAAAGTAATTTTATGATATTCGAAATAAGCATATGAGAAGGCTTTTGTATGGGTTCACATACAAATATTTTTTAATTGACTTTAGAGTTTTCCGATTCTCCCTAATTTTCGTTTCTAAATTGCTTGATGGCGGTGAGATGGCGGTGGCCGACAAAGAAACATGGTGGGCGATGGCTAGCGGCACGTGGCAAGCAATGGTCCTTGCAGGCAACTATACATGGCAATTGCCATGTGAGTAGGGGAAAAAAAAGGTTTTCTGAATTTTCCAAAACAAAAGATAAGAAATACAAAAATAAAACAAAAACAAAAACAATCAAAAAACTTTTTTTTTTTTCAGTTTTTAAAAACATATTACTGTGAGTTTTAAACACCAATATAAAAATAAATTATGAAACAATTTTTTTTTGGATTCTAGAAGCCAAAAAATATTTTTAAAATAAAAAACAAACAAGGCTTTTATATCTTAGAACTTACATTGCGGACCATGTATAGAAATTTTCAGTATTCCCCTGCCCCAAAAAAATAACCAGAAATCATTCGAAGGTCAAACCAGTTTTTATTAACTCTCAAATTTTTTTTTTAAACTTTCAATAACAAACCACGGCAAGGATGTTCTTTTAGAATTGCATCATTTTAATTAATCAGACTTGTTATGTGGTATCTCATACTTATTGGGAGTTATCTAGACAAACAAAAAAAAAAAATTTGCTCTACACCACGGTAAACTTGATGACCCTTTTACTGTTATGAGGGAAATCAATGGCCTCCTCTCTCTTATAAGCTCAGTTTTTGATAAGCCAAAATTAACTCCCCAAAGCTCGTCTAGTCGCACTTTATTAATTTTCGTTTCCAATGGTTTGAGAGCCTCCTTGTTTTGGATCCATAATTTTGGATTATTTCAAACTGAGAATCACCCAAATTCGCATATTATTTGAGTTGGAATTGTCTCTTTTGATATTGTAGCTGGTCATCAAAATGAAATTCATTAATCACATGGCAGGAAATTTTAGCTCTTCTTCATGATTTTCATGTTTTTCCTTATAAGCAAATTTCTCCTTATGTATTTTCTTATATTTTAGGACATAGCTTAAACCCTTCTGTTTTAGTCCTTTATAAACTTTAAGGCCTTTTACATATCGCATTTTGTTTCTCATGAGGAAAAAAGAAGAAGCTTATTGCTAGGAAGGGGGGACCCACAGAAGTTGCATGACCAAGTTAACTCTAATTAGTATCTGATCAATAACTAAGAAAAGTTAAATAATAAATACTACCTCCGATCCTTAATATAAGACTCTGTTTGACTTTTATATTGGTCTTAAATATAAGACCCCAATTCATTTTGTCTCTCATATTTACTTAATTTTTTCCAAAATAGTCCTTCTAATAATTATAGTTTTAGCCAACATACTTGATTAGTAAGGATATTTTAGAAAAAACAACACATATTTATCACAAATAACTAATTTGAGTATATTAAATATGTATTGTCTTTTCTAAAATATTCCTATTAATTATGTGTATTAGTTAGAATTATTATTTAACAAAATCTTTAACATGTATAACTGATACAAAAACTATCTTAAAAATAAATAAATATTAGAGATAAAATTGTTTGAGGTCATATATTTAAAATTAAATAGAATATTAAATTAGTTTTCACATTAAAGATTAGAGGCTGTATTTAAAAAGGAGAAATAAACCAAGTAATGAGAAAGGGAAACTCTGCGCATTGGCCCGCTGGTGAGAGCTGAACGGCCCTGTTTGGATGACAAAGCAAACCATGGTTTGGAAGGTTAAACCATGGTTTGCACATAAAATCATCCAAACAGGCAGGCATTTTGGTGAAACCGCGGTCTAGGTTGAAACCATGGTTTCCACCGGTGAAACCATGGTTTCATCAGAAGCAAGAATTTGTTGCTTCTAGCAGAAATAATTGAAGGCAACGGTCATTGACCCAAAATACCCTTCTTCTGCAGCACTGGCCGACACTTTTGGATTGGTTATTCTCTCTTCGCTCTGCTTGCGCATTCACTCAGCTCGCCTCTTTCTCTGCTCGCCGCTTCGCTCTTCTCATTGCTGCTCTGAATTTTGCCGTCGCTCTTCACTTCGCCGTTGCTGCTCACCTCTCTTCACCCAGCTCGCCTCTTCGCTCTTGACTTCGCCGTCGCTGCTCTGAATTTCATCGTCGCTCTTCACTTCATCGTTGCTGCTCGCCTCTCTTTACCCAGCTTGCCTCTTCGCTCTGCTCGCCTCCTCGCTCTTCACTTCACTTCGCCATCAGCTGGCATCTTCGCTCAGTTCGGCTCTTCACTTTATCAGCTCACCTCTTCCCCCTTCTTTCACCGTTGCTGCTCTAAATTTGTACACTAGTGAGATCTCCTCGGCTCTGAATTTGTCATGTTGGGTTGTCTGATCCATCAATCCTCGGTTTCCAATCTGAATTTGTCATTATTATTCGTTGGTTGTTTTTTTAGAACGGTGGCGTTGTTGAAAATTTGTTTTGGCTTTAGTATTTTCCCTGTCGTACGTTGATTTTGGAATGATTTAGCTGTAGTGTTCTACTATGCTCTTTGAATTGTAGCTCGGTTTCCTGGTTGTGGATCTGATTGATCAAACTAAATTTATCTCTAGAAAAGGAACAGTGTCACAAAATGTCATGGCGGTTTGTGATTGGGACATGTGTTTTGCTTTTGTCTTGGCTGGATGGGAAGGTAGCGCACATGATACTCGGATATTTGATCATGCCCTCACAACTCCTTCAATGAACTTTCCCCATCCACTTGAAGGTATTTTTTTATTTCCTACATTTTATTTATATTTAGCTAACAATAGAAACATAATTTACAATAATTTCATTTTTTATATAGGAAAATATTATTTGGTGGATGCTGGATACCCAACACCAAATGGATATCTCGGCCCATACAGACGGGAGCGTTACCATCTGCCTGATTTTTGAAGGACATCTGGGTTTGAAAATGACAACGAGGTCTTTAATTATTTCCATTCAAGTTTAAGGAGTACAGTTGAAAGAACTTTCGG